CCCTTCCAGCTGCTCGTCAGGGAAATCGCCCAGGACTTCAAAACGGATTTGAGGTTCCAGAGTGCAGCCATCGGTGCGCTGCAGGTATTTGCTAGTGGCCTGTCGGGCCTCAGTGCTCGTGGTGCTCGGCCTGCTTTGCTGGGGTTTGCTAACAGCGTTTCTTGTTCTGCTCTTGAAACAGGAGGCCAGCGAAGCGTATCTGGTGGGTCTGTTTGAAGACACAAACCTGTGCGCCATCCATGCCAAGAGAGTCACCATCATGCCCAAAGACATCCAGTTGGCTCGCAGGATACGGGGGGAGAGGGCTTAAGTGAAGGCTGTTTTTATGGTGTTTTGTAGTAATTTCTGTAAAATACTTTGGTTTAATTTGTGACTTTTTTTGTAAGAAATTGTTTATAATATGTTGCATTTGTACTTAAGTCATTCCATCTTTCACTCAGGATGAATGCTAAAAGTGACTGTTCACATAAACCTCAGTGATGTGAGCCGCGGTGCTCAGGAGTGACAAGTTGCTAATATGCAGAAGGGATGGGTGATCTTTCTTGCTTCTCATGCATGTTTCTGTATGTTAATGACTTGTTGGGTAGCTAAACTTGTAAGGTACTAGAATTGATATAAATGTGTACAGGGTCCTTTTGCAATAAAACTGGTTATGACTTGATCCAAGTGTTTAACAATTGGGGCTGTTAGTCTGACCATACATCACTGTGATCAAATGTGGACTTTTTCAGAGGGTGAAACTACAAGTCTTAACCACAGTGTAACTTACAGTTTCCTAAAAAAAAAACGTAAACCTGGCAGCTATAGAATACACTATGTGCATTTATAATAGCTATTTTATATATTGTAGTGTCAACATTTTTAAATTAAATGTTTTACATTCACATGCGAGGAGTCTTTGTCATTTGGTTTGTATGGGCTTGAAGCAGCTTTCCCCTCCTGGCCGCAGCTGGTGCCGGTAAGGCTGGGGTGCTGCTGCTGCAGCTGCATTTTTGTCTGTCAGCAGAGAGGGGAGCTTGCCCTGGCCCCCTCGGAGGGGTTTGGAGGCTCTTCCGTAGCTGGAGCTGCAGGGCAGGGGAGGAAGAGCTGCCTTTTGGGGAGGCTTTGGTGTTTTTTTTATAAAGCTCAGCTGCTTACCAGTGTCAGCTGCTCAGGCACAGCTCTGGAACTAACCTGTTTTTTTTTTTCCTCCTCCTTTCCCCTAGGTGCAGGGGAAGCTGGTTCTGGTGGTGGGACAGGTCTGCCCATGGTGCCACCAGCAGCTTGGTCCCCGAGCAGCGTCCCAAGGCTGAGGTGTGGGGTGTCCGGCTGCGGGCTGGGAGTTTCTGTGGGATCTGGGCGCGTGGCTGAGTCCCAGTTACCGACAGCAGCCAGGGTGCTGCACAAGTGGAAAAGCCACTGCTCCAACTGGAGAGCAGAGCCCCGGGGCTGCGAAGCGAGCGGGACTGGGCGCTCAGTAAGACGCTCGTCTCCCATCGAAGGTTTTTCCGGTGAGATGGGATTACACCCCGGCCTTCACTTGGGCACAGCGCTCTGGCCTCGGCCAGGACAGGTCTGGTGTTCCCAGCAGTGCCTCTGGGAACAGCCACGCCGTGTGAGGCTGGGCTAGAGGAAAGCTGCTCTGACTACACCTGCAACACAGGTAATTAACATTTAAATTGAACTGCGAGGCCAGCTCTCAGCTCTTACAGAACAGGCTGCGCGAGTAAGGCTGGAGTTGGCAGAGAGAAACAGCGCAGGGAAGCAGTTTAGCGAGCTCACCTCGATTTATTTCAGTGAAGCTAAAAGAGCCGTGGCAGACGGGGCGTTGCAGGAGGCAGAGCAGCGATGGTTTGCACCAGGCACAGGCGGCACGTCACCACGTCACCACTGCTGGCTGCGCGCTTGCTTGAAGACCGGACACGGTTACAGCGCTTCCTTCCACAGCAACGGCCGGAAAACCCTCCTGACCCCCGCTCCCGGGGCCCGCGTCACCCGGGGGGCTGCCAGGCTGGGCCACGCGCCCGGGGCTGGAGCCGGGGCTCTCCCTCATCAGACAAACCACTCCGTGTGCTTAAACCCTGCAGCTGGAGGAACAGTGCTCCTTACCACGCGCTTACTCACAGCTTCCTCGGCGCCCTGTCCTACGCCGCTCCGACACGCAGCCCCTGGGTAACGCCATTAGCTCATCTGCCGCGGAGCTGCTACAAACGTGGTCTGCAACCATCCCAGGTCAGGCTTTAAACACGTATTTTCCTCACTGCTAAGCCTGTGGGGAAAAAGATTTCCTCACATCGACGTTGTAAACTTCATTGCTAAATGAAAGGCTTGGATCAAAGTTAAGCAGCGTCTCAAGCTTCAGTTGACGCCACGAGATCTCGGGTAGCTGGGCCAGGGAGGACTGTCCTGGGGGGTACAGCCTGGTGAGGGGACAGCAGGCAGGGGTGTTCCCGCAAGGAGCGGGGACCTTGGTCCTCCATGGCCCAGGAGCCGCGTAAGTTGGGACAAACCCTGCAGCTTCCGTTCAGGCAGGTTAAAAATAAGAATTTTGAGTGATGGGATTTATGAATGCTCGATTTGGTGCTAAACTGCAGTAGCAGGCTGGGCTCCTGCAGGAAAAGTATGTTTTAAAATAACATCCCTCGAAAACAATATTTCCTCCAAGTTCTTGGTGGAAACAATGCACCATCTGGGCATGCCTAGAAACTGTTCCTTAAAATAAAATCATTGTCTAGCAGTTCTTAAAAAAAACCCCACCAAAACCCACCACCAACACAAAAACCAAACCCACCAGAAAACTCTTATCAGATTATCTATTCATTTTAGTAACCTCAACCGAAAGAAACAAAGTTGGATCTTGCATGTGGTGGCCCAGAACAGCAATTCTTGGCGTTCCACGGTCTCGCCGTGACGACAGCCGAAGACACAAGCCGTTCCCTTCCCGATCCGCCTGACGGTTTCCTCGCGTTCGTGCTCAGAACTCGACGCGAACACCAGGCAGTCGAACGTGCTCCCGTCAGGGCTCTCCGGGGAAGCGCTAAAAATGGAAACGCGTACATTAGCCGGCAGAGCGAGCGGCTCTGAACGCCAGCCCTGGCTTGTAACCACACCAGAGACCCCGCGGCTGGGCTGGAGGGCGCTTGTTTATTTTCTAAGACCCTCCCCATCCCCCTCCCAGGGCCCCCAGGCAACACTTACACCACGCAGAAGGCGAATACATTGCTGCTGCCCACGCAGCGTCCCCCGCAGGAGATGGAGGGGTAGGGGTAGCAGAACAGGAGCTGCGCAGCGGACAGGCGGGACGGGGAGTCGGGGGGTGGAGGCCTGCCTTTTCGGCC